TTAACTCTGGACTACGTTTAACTCTGGACTACGTTTAACTCTGGATGTTGTTTAACTCTGGATGTTGTTTAACTCTGGATGTTGTTTAACCCTCTGGATGTTGTTTAACCCTCTGGATGTTGTTTAACTCTGGATGTTGTTTAACCCTCTGGATGTTGTTTAACTCTGGATGTTGTTTAACCTTCTGGATGTTGTTTAACCTTCTGGATGTTGTTTAACTCTAGATGTTGCTTAACTCTGGATGATGTTAACTCTGGATGTTGTTTAACCCTCTGGATGTTGTTTAACTCTCTGGATGTTGCTTAACCCTCTAGATGTTGCTTAACTCTGGATGTTGTTAAATCTGGATGTTGTTTAACCCTCTGGATGTTGTTAACTCTGGATGTTGTTTAACCCTCTGGATGTTGTTTAACCCTCTGGATGTTGTTAACTCTCTGGATGTTGCTTAACTCTGGATGTTGCTTAACTCTGGATGTTGCTTAACTCTGGATGTTGTTAACTCTGGATGTTGTTAACTCTCTGGATGTTGTTAACTCTCTGGATGTTGCTTAACTCTGGATGTTGCTTAACTCTGGATGTTGCTTAACTCTGGATGTTGTTGACTCTGGATGTTGTTTAACCCTCTGGATGTTGTTAACTCTGGATGTTGTTTAACCTTCTGGATGTTGTTTAACCCTCTGGATGTTGTTAACTCTCTGGATGTTGCTTAACTCTGGATGTTGCTTAACCCTCTGGATGTTGTTTAACTCTCTGGATGTTGTTTAACTCTCTGGATGTTGTTTAACTCTGGATGTTGCTTAACTCTGGATGTTGCTTAACTCTGGATGTTGCTTAACTCTGGATGTTGTTAACTCTGGATGTTGTTAACTCTCTGGATGTTGCTTAACTCTGGATGTTGCTTAACTCTGGATGTTGCTTAACTCTGGATGTTGTTGACTCTGGATGTTGTTTAACCCTCTGGATGTTGTTAACTCTGGATGTTGTTTAACCTTCTGGATGTTGTTTAACCCTCTGGATGTTGTTAACTCTCTGGATGTTGCTTAACTCTGGATGTTGCTTAACCCTCTGGATGTTGTTTAACTCTCTGGATGTTGTTTAACTCTCTGGATGTTGTTTAACTCTGGATGTTGCTTAACTCTGGATGTTGTTAACTCTGGATGTTGTTTAACTCTCTTGGATGTTGCTTAACTCTGGATGTTGTTAACTCTGGATGTTTTTTAACTCTCTGGATGTTGTTTAACTCTGGATGTTGTTTAACCCCTTGGATGTTGTTTAACACTCTGGATGTTGTTTAACCCTCTGGATGTTGTTTAACCCTCTGGATATTATTTAACTCTGGATGTTGTTTAACTTTGGATGTTGTTTAACCCTCTGGATGTTGTTTAACCCTCTGGATGTTGTTTAACCCTCTGGATGTTGTTCAACCCTCTGGATGTTATTTAACACTGGACGATTTTATATCTGGATGTTGTTTAACTCTGGATGTTGTTTAACCCTCTGGATGTTGTTTAACCCTCTGGATGTTGTTTAACCCTCTGGATGTTATTTAACTCTGGACGACATTTAACTCTGGATGCTGTTTAACTCTCTAGATGTTGTTAAATCTGGATGTTGTTTAACTCTCTGGATGTTGTTTAACCCTCTGGATGTTGTTTACCCCTCTGGATGTTGAGTCATATTTGTGACACATATTTTCACATGATCTGAAAAGTGAATGTTGTGCCAGAATTGTGGTAGCACAACACTTAGTCTAACTCTGACTAAAATTACGCAGGGATGAAAAATGTTAAATTTCAAATCTCAAGGTGTTAAATTAACTGCAAATATTTCACTCGTTTGAGACAGTCAGTGCTAATGGTTGTTCAATGTTTTGTTATGTGTAATTTTTGCCACTTTCTTTCATACACAGATAAAAGTACTGTGCAAAGAAATGTTTTACCAGCTTTACAGAAACAGTGAGTGAGAACTTACTGCCTAATATCTAACACAAAAATATATATCAAATGGATTTGTATGCTTAAGTATGTTAAATATTTGATACAAAAAATAGCTTGCCATACATGAAGAAAATCTTTTTTCAGCCATGACATCAAAAATAACAGAAAAGTATACACGCTCATAAAGAAAAGGCTGCATCACTCTGCTATGCTTAGAACTAGTCCATTTAACTCAGTTCACTTGGTGAAAATTGTTGTGAATAACAACAATGTATTGTCATACTGTTTTGTTCTTGAGAAAAGTAACTATTCCAACACAAATATCAATACTGAAACCAATTAGGTTTATGTACTATCATAAATCAAAAGAATAGATGAGATTGTTCAACATAAGAAAAGGAGTAATGTATTTGACATAATAAGTGCCCAGGGTGCTCTCAAAATTAGAAATAGGGGGCACTTATTGGAATATTATTTTGGTGAAAAACAAGACAGTTGGAAGATGGTAAATTTCGTAGTTTATGCTGACAGCCTGAAATGTTTATATAAGACAAATATATTTTTCCAGAATTTTATTTCCCATGATTAAGGATGCATATAACACAAGTATTATACACGACTAAATAAGTCTTGTGTACATTGATCACTAGCAAATATATTAGCAAATATCGCCATGGGCGCTTATTAGAGCGGGGCCCTTATTACGTCAAATGCGGTAATAATGAAATGGATGGCCCTATCTAACATGTAAATTAGTCATTAGAATCCAGCATTCCCCTGATTGTGTGTGGTTTGAAAAGTGAGGCACCAATATTAATGACGTATTAGTCTTATCATCAAATGTATTGAATTACTGAATATTTGAAACCTTTTTGTTTCACATCATGCATTGTTTTGTCTGGCGACATCGGAGAAAGACAACATTGGTATATTGCTTTATATGATATTGATATTTGTAGGCTTGTTTGTCTTTGGCGATATCGGAGAAAGACGATATTGGTATATTGATGTATATATATGTCATTGAATTATATATTGAATTACTGAATGTTTGATATGGCTTGTTTTGTCTTGGTGTTGTCAGAGAAATATGACATTGGTATATTAATTCATATATGTCTCACCTACTTTTCATTCAAAGTATGAAATTCATAAAACAGAATTTCATTCCAGAACACAAAATACTTCTTTCTACCGTGTAACTAATGTCTTGAATTGATAAAAAATAATATTGTATATCATGATTGTACAAGATGTGCCTAGCATCAATTTTATATAAATAAAATTCTAAAAACCATACTTCAAAACAAACAAATATATTTTTAATAATGGACACATATTTGTTCATCATAAAGTGGTTATTTCTCTTCATTTCGTCTCAGACTGTTACAATGAAAGATGTGAAAAAAGGAATGGAATTGTGTTGATAATCGTATAAGGTTGACCAATGGTGTATGTTTAATTTTTCACAGTACAGTACAAGCTCATAACGAACTGACGGATACAACAAACTGTCTACTGGGTCCAGGCCATTTGCTGTATATATTATCATATAAAATTGATGGATAAAACGACCATGCTTACAACGAAAAAAAACCAGATATATAGCAAAATCACTTAGTGGTCCTGTGTGTTCTCAATCAACAATGTTTATGTTTATAACGAACAGTTAATTTCTGAGATGCTCACCAATCAGCCTATCAAAACATCTACGGCCACACAGGTCTGTGCAAATCAGCAACAAACAATTGAAGGCATGTGACTGACTGGGGAAAGTACTGACAAAACAAGAGGGGTAATACTGCATATGACTGTAGATAAGCCAAATATTGAGGACCAGTAAAAGGATTCTGTAGAAAGGGGTCGGCTTATGAATGGGTTGCAAATGATGTTTATCTAGCCTTGCTAGACATCAATACAAGTGACTGACTTTTACAAAATGGTTGTTTTCAGAGGAGAACTATCGCAGATTCAGGGATCATGTTATCTGGACCCCAGAAAACTTGAAACCACTCCTGACAGACAATATTTATGTGAAATGAAAATACTACATAACATCGTGCATCATGAGTTTTCTTGCAGTGATACAATACACGATACAATTTTTTACTGAAACGATACAAGACAATACACTTCTTAAAATAAATTACTTATTACTCATGTAATGAGTTCCCCCCTCAACCAGAATTTTTGTCAGTCAAATATTGCAAAATGAGTTGTAATTAGCATTTCAAGATCATTATTAAAATAACCACTACGACAATGTCGCTACAGCTAGATTTGAAATATTTACAGTCAAGAAGTTTCTATACAACTTGACATCAATATGCGTATCGTGATACATATTGTATCATGTTATGTATCATATATTACTGAGCATGGCATTAAACAACAAACAAACAAACAAACACAGCAGCCATAAACCAACACATGACATGATGATCATAATGATCATAATGATCACCAATCAGCCCATCAAAACATCCACGGCCACACAGGTCTGTTCAAAGCAGCAACAAACAATTGAAGGCATGTGACTGACTGGATTAAGTACTGACGCCTTGTCATCCATTAGCATCCTCAATTTACAAAAGTAACACAGTGATTAGCCTTTGAAGTGGATAAATCATAAAATGCCATGATTAGAGTTAGGAAATTCAGTATTGATATGATGGCAGACACACCTCACAGGTCACTTGTGTCTAGGGCTGGGACGAGTCCAAATTTACTACCTGGATAGCCACCCCTCTATTACCCTACCCTACCCGGGTACCCACTGTAGGTCTCAGGAGATGTCTGAATGATCACATTTGTCAATATAACCTGCATTATCAACGCATGTCAAAAGCGTTAAATAAGTTTAATCAACTTACACAAATAACAGACGCCTGCTTCTCACTGATTCTTCTCGGCTTGGATTCGAATATGAACATGATGGTTGGCTTGGCATGGGCATAGCCATGGTAAGACGTTGTGACAGTTTCAACACTGCTTCAATATGGATAAAATGAGTCTATGACTGTTCCTACTGGTGCAGCTAAATGTGTCATCAAGGTAACTTACCCAATGTAACTCTTCCGCATCTGGAGTGTCTGTTTGTAGGACAGCGGTTTGTCAAACACATGCATCATATGGCGTAGTCTCCTGTAACAAATTATACTCTGTGAACACCCACAATAAATCAAGCTCTCATTTTGACAAGACACATGACTCTACATGCTAATATCAAAAGTGCCACTGTATACAGGAGATCGGTTGAAAAAAGCTATAAGCTCATTGCAGTTCCACTTTATATAATGCCTGATACAGATCAATGAAACTGTCAGTATCACACTGGCCTTGACCCCTACAGTTCTAAAAATACATTCACATGATTCACAACAAATGTGCACAGACACACATTTTATCTTTTTGTAGCGAATTGAATTAAGTAATTCTAGGGATTTTTTATTGCACCTGTTCACAGATTAATGTCACACACACAATTTCTCATGATCACCTTGGCAACTTTTAGAACAAGTTAATTGACAGGTCTGCTTCTCATAACCAAATGTAAGAAGTCTATTTCATGAAACAAAAATATATCTGAATTTGTATCCAAACTTTTATTTTATGTCAAGCCATTAGAATCGGAGCTCATTAAGCTCCTTCATCATGCATTGTGTTATAGGCTATAGATCAATGAAGCTGTAACTGGCCTTGGCCCTTCCAGCTCTAAAAATACATTTACTTAATTCACAACAAATGGGTACATTGACACGCTTTATATAATTTTGTAGGGGCTTGCGCTACATTTCACAAAGACATATGGACACTTGACGATGTTAAACGGTGCATGTTAGCTTAAATTAAGTAAGTTTATTGAATCTTATCGCATCTGTCCAGAGATTCGTGTCACACACTGGTGTGTTGACATGTGTGCTTGTCGCGATCAACATGTATGAGAAGTTTATTTGATGAAACAAAAATAATTCTAAATATGCATCCAAACTGTTTTCACAACCAACCTTTTATGTCAGGCCATAAGAGTCGACGGTAGCAGCGTTAGCCAGTCTGCTTTACACTGCGACCCTGACAGAGCTTCTGGAGCTCTCACGACTGGAGTCAATAAAGACTCACTTCCGCCCCTAGCTCCATACATAATCAATAGATGTCGCTAGATTTTAGGCGGAGTATGAGATTCTTCAGGATGCGCGTATATATATATATATAGTATTATATTACCTTGGCGACTATGAGAGCAACAATTGACGGCACACGCGAGTAGCAAATATACTCACTTGGGAATTAAAATGGCCACAACCTCGGGCGATAATACATTATAGAAGTGTGTTATACAACAAGCCCCTTTTACGCCCAGGTGAAAGTCCGACCCTAGTTTATAAATGAAAATTCGCCTGATTATAAAGTCAGTAATGAGGAAAGCCCGTTGTAGTCACATTAAATACAGATCTACATGGTGAATTTTGTAATTCATTGAAAAATGAAATTCATATTAATTTTTAAACAAGTGGAAAGGCCGCCTTTAACTCAAATAAGCGAATGAGTTAAAACATGGAAGCACACAGCGACCCAATAAAAATGGCAGAACTTGAAGTTCGGGCAATATATGAAAATTGAATTGTATTGTACGAACATACATTGAAAATTTGTACAGTTGTACATAGCAAGCGGAAGTATTCTAAGATGTATAAATGTTGCCAATACCAACCACATATGTAATGTGTATAAATGTATTTACACTAAACTAAGTAAGCGTGTCAATTTTCTGCGTTCATGCATATCCTACAGTCAATGTATAAAATGGCTGTAATTTTCACTCAGGCAATTTACAAAATGCCAAAATGTTTTGTCATCTGACAATTAGTCAGATTGACCAAAAGTTACAAGAAATTCAAAAGGGATTAAAAACGCGACAATGGGCTAATTAATTATATATAATATATATAAGAAGTATATATATACATTGAGTTTAGGGCTGCGACGAGTCCAATTTTACCCACCCCACTATTACCCGACCCTACCCGGTTACCCACTGTAGGTCTCAAGAGATACAACATGTCCGATTGGGAATTTGTTTACCACAGCACTTATTGAGATACATGTATTAAACGATCTGGTCATGCATACACTGAAGTTGAATAAAGTTATATCTTTATTCAACCATATACAAGTCAGAAGGAATGTGTGCATAGTCAGAAACAAATGCAAACATTAGTGACTTGTAGTGTAACCATGGAGTTCTAGGTTACTTTTGTCATTAAACAATAGATCACGTGACTAGTGAGTGAGTATTGTTTTACGCCGCTTTTAGCAATATTCCAGCAATATCACGGCGGGGGACACCAGAAATGGGCTTCACACAATGTACCCATGTCGGGAATCGAACCCTGGTCTTCGGCGTGACGAGCGAACGCTTTAACCACTAGGCTACCCGACCGCCCCAGATCACGAAACTAACCACGGGTCCGGGTAGTCCTGTCGGTACCCGGGTCCAACTCAGTACCCACCCGACCCGGGTACCCGGGTTACCCGTCCCAGCCCTAATTGAGTTTCGTTTTCTTTTAATCGTATCATTTTTAGCCACTGGGTTATGAAATAGAGCATAAACATGTTTGTACTCGTCATCATAATCAGAGACCATATAATAAATCTATTATATGGTCTCTGTCATAATGCAATAAATGGAAAAAAAATAATTGTAACATTACTGAAATATCTTTACGTTTTGTAAATTGCCTTAGTGAAAAAGTCTGTAACATATACACAATGTGATATGTAAATAAATAGTGCAAGGATTTACACATTATGCACACCCATGTTTAATTTCATACCTGCATAAAAGGAAACGATATTGAAGTCAATTCTTTAAAAAAAAGACTCTTGAAAAAGGAAGCCTTAACTATTAGTAAGTCCGTGACCCCAGATGCCCCCTCTATTTACATTTACGACATCAAATTAATCGTGCTTCAATATTAACCGTTAGTAAACGTGTCATTCGTCACCACTCGCCCCTTTCCGTAACCTGCAAGAAGACTCGTCCCCCTATCGATGAATGTTATGTGCGAAAATACGACAAACCAATCAGAATGCGCGTATGATTTCAAGTTCTTCGTCAAAGAATCCCTCAGAAATACTTTTTTATTTTACATACGTCTTGCATCTAAAAATATACCCAAGACACAGTTAAATGTGTTCAGTCATACTGTATAATTCCGCATATCCCGATGTGCTTTAAATTGCATCTGAAGTATATATAATATATGGGGAAATATATGTGAACCATTACACAACGGGTAGACAACTGTTTTAGGTATGCCCGTTTGCGCTAAGACGGAACCCGGTCGCAAAAATGGCCACGAGAGGGGCACGAGTCGCTATTCGGCTTGTCCCGGAATAACACGAGTTGGTCACGAATGTAAACGTGTAAGTTCCAACATTACAACGTCTACATGCATGAACTACAATCTTCCCTGTATATGATGGGTGTCTAACTTCGAATTTCACGTACATCCGCCGCAGCTCCATGTCTATTGTGTTCAGTGGTGCTGACACTCGTCACTCCTTGACTAACCGGAAGGCACCATAACTGTCAAATGAAAAATAAATCAGGTTTAATTGTACATACACAATATATACCATCACATAATTATCATATATGTATTTGGTATGAGAGTTGGAGGAAGCGTACGTACAATCTTGTCGTCCCCACCACGAATCAAAAATGCATCACGACGTATGTACCAAGATCTTGGAGGTAGGACCATGTATTGTTCTCATCTGGAGGCGTCTACAGGATATCTATTTCCATACATGGTATCGAAGTTAAGAATTTCCGTCTTTTTTATACATTGTGTTAAAATATAATATCTTCTACAACCTTAACTAAATTGAGGTTAGGTGAAATGGGGTCTCTCAATGTCAATTGTCAAATGTCCACAAGATAATCTATGTGAAAATGTGTCACTCCTCACCAGTGACGTGAAATATGTCAATTTCTTTCGGGACTTTCTCGCACATTTTCTTAAAGTTACTTCTCTGATATTTATCGATAATTGATTGATATTTAGTTAGTGATACTGAAAGCCCTAACTTAGTATAAGAAAACATTTCTTTAAAATAATTGTAACCTTTCTTCTTCTGCGGTGTTGAATCAAGGAAACAAGACTTGGTTTAGTTTGACCTTGACTTGCCTAGGCTTTTAGACTCTCTCTCTCCCTCACTCCCTCCCTCCCCCCCCCCCCCCCCCCCCCCCCCTCTCTCTCTCTCTCTCTCTCCATGGTAACAAAAACCTTTAATGCGAGAGTTGGAAGAAGCGGACGTACAATCTTGTCGCTCCACCACGAATCAAAAATGCATTACGCCGTTTGTACCAAGATATTGGAGTTAGGACTATGTATTGTCCTCATCCGGAGATGTCTACAGGATATCTATTTCCAAACATGGTATCGAAGGTTAGAATTTCAGTCTTTTTTTATACATTGTGTCAAAATGTGTGTGTGGCTGCTTGTACTAATCCGGACTCATGCCGATTTATAGTGCTAGCTCACTGAGATACCATGCTGCAGTTTAACATGAATACCCCACTCAGACACAGTATACTGACTTCAAGCCGACCAGCCGACAAGAACCATCTTTTAACGTCGTTTGGTATGACGCGGCCGGGGATCAAACCCCGTACCTTCCGCTCTCCGGGCGGACGCTCTACCACTAGACCATGGAAGCGGTCTTCAACAGATAATGACGCACAGTTAGAGCATGGGGGCCAAGTGTCAAGTATTCGAACAAGTAGTCAGAGACACATAATGCACAATAAAGTCATGTCGAAGAGAAGGAATTATACAGATCCGCCAATAACGCGAATATCATCCATGCTACGACTCGACTTCGAACTGAGAACGTTTGACGTGTGATGATGGCTACGGCACAATTTCCCATCCAGGGCCTGAGCAGGGCTTTGTCTTGTCAATGGAGAAACTGGTCAAAACTGGTCAATTAATCTAGAAAGTCTAACATGTGCTTTATAGGAGACAAACCGGGAGATCTTGGCGGCCAGGACAAGACGTTGACGTGGTTGGCGTACAGAAAGTTGGCGGTAGTCCTTGCCGTGTGCGATCTTGTCATGTTGAAGCAGTGTTTTGTGGTTCTGCTGCAGGCAGGACAATGAGACTAAGTATCTGGGTCCACTTGCTCAAAGCGATCTTAGCGCTACGACTATTGCAAGCCTATGTTAAAGAATGGCAGTTACGATCATCTTAGTGCAAAGATCGCTTTGTTCAAGTGGGCCCTGGTCGATATAGCGTCGGCGATGTCAGACTGGTATCGAAAACGACCAGATCTGTTTTGACGTCACCACGAATTCCTCCCGGCACCATCACACCTCCATCATATGGCTCAACCTTCTGAACACCTACCCGTCGTCCGCCGTGTATTCTGATTTTCACATCAGTTCCGAAGAGATGGACTCGATTCTCATCAGAAAAGAGAGATATTTGAAAGTTCCAGTTCTGCCACTACCCATGACATTCTCTGACGTCGACATTTCAGGTGTCCCCGCCGTGATATTGCTGGAATATTGCTAAAATCGGCGTAAAACCATACTCACTCACTCTGACGTCGATGTTGGCGTCTTAGGACTACTCAACAGAGCGCTCTATATTCCCGAATACCAAGAAGTCTTGAACAATGTCCTTCTGCAGACTACACGATCAAGACTGGTTGCAGCTGCTGGCGTTACCGTGAAACCAGGCTCTGCTCCTGAGGTTAAAAATCAGAAGGTACCGGCCCTCGCTGGGCCTTGTCTCGGGAGATCTCCCTCTCCAAGGTCTGTCCCTGGTACTGCTAGCTTGGCGAAAACGAGTCACCCGTCTGGGGATTGTGATGTGCGCGCAGCCTAAGATTGTTGCCCCATGGCGATGGGTAGCCCCCATCTGTATCATACCGATGGCCCTTTTTGATGTGCACACCACAGGGATGTGTGTCTGCAACTAGAGATCTGTTGTAAAATGACAGGCAAAAGAAAGAAGAGACCTATGTTTTATCGTTAAAGTGAAACAAACAAGAAATGGTTATTCGATGGTCATGTATTTGATACGGGTATTATAAGCGATATTCTAAGCATTATATCAATAAGTATCTCCCAACAGGTGACGTGCATGTGACGTCCCGAGAAATATGATGGCTCACAATTTCACAATCTGTCAGCGTTTTTCTGTCTCCGCCCATTCGTTCTTCCAGCGACGATAAACCCGAACACGGCCATCACCAAGGAATAAGCAGAGGCTCTGCCAGTCACGGATCTGTCAGCGTTATGCTGTCTCCGCCCAGTCTTCGACGTTGATGTTCTTGGGTCAAGGCCATTCCACGGGCGGGGCTGTAGTTCGAATACCCGCCACACGGAGATGATTTGTGTCTGCAGATGATGATCTTACGTACAAACAATAGAGATGCTCTCGTGATTGTACACCAAAGATTTACAGATTTAATTTCACGGTAAACAGTAATGAGCAGAGTGAAGCAGGTATTGTCTTGATCAGCTTGAGTTGGTTTACAGATACCAGACATTCTCAAACACTAATATGACCAACACGAGCACAGAAGCACGCCCCAACTCGCCGTGTCATCGATGTCGTCAGCCGCCCGATGACGTCATTGGGTATCCGTTGCCAGTTGTCCCTGAGTGCTGCATCCAGCTGCTGGCGGTTCTGCGGTGGATGAGGAAGTCGCCTATCTCTTACTGTCCAGATGATCCCACAAGTGTTCATTGTTTCGTGAGCGAGCTGGTCATGGGAGAACGGCGACGTTATGCGCAGATAAAAGTGAGTGAGTTGGGCTTAACGCCGCTTTTAACAGTATTCCAGTTATATCACGGCGTGTCAGCTTAATGTGGGAGGAAAGCCCGAAGTGATGCAGGTCTCAGACGTTTAACACCTCGGTGAAACCCACGAGCACGGGCATGGTGCTGACAAACCTAGAAACCTAATCGGGGCGAACCGTTTGGTATTTCCCGGATATTCTCACAATGTTCAAGTGGATTATCTTCTCCCAATACCGATTGTCATCTCTCCAACTTTTGATTGCGACCCCGTTAGTCGCCTCTTACGACAAGCACGGATAGCTGAAGACCAATTCTAACCTGGACCTTCACGGTTATGTGTGTAATATGTCAATGTTTTTAATATATAGAATGTATGTAATATACATATGTATTTAATATATGTATAGCATGTTATATGCAAAATGTATGTAATATACAATGTATGTAATATGCCAATGTATGTGATATGCCAATGTATGTAATATGCCAATGTATTTGATATATGTAATATATGTAATATGCCAATGTATGTAATATATGCAGTATGCCAATGTATGTAATATATGTAATGTATGTAATATATGCAATGTATGTAATATATGCAATGTATCTAATATATGCAATATATGTAATGTATGTAAAATGCTAATGTATTTAATATATGTAATTTGCAATGTATGCAATATATGTAATTCTCAATGTATGTAATATGCCAATGTATGTAATATGCCAATGTTTGTAATATGCCATTGTATGCAATATGCCAAAGCTTGTAATATAAGTAATATTTGTAATATGCCGATGTATGTAATATGCGAATGTTTGTAATATATGTAATGTATGTAATATGCCGATGTATGTAATATGCGAATGTATGTAATATATGTAATGTATGTAATATGCCAATTTAAGTAATATGCCAATTTATGTAAGATGCCAATATATGTAATATGCCAATGTATGTAATATATGTAATATGTTTGTATATGTAATATGTTATATATTGAATGTATGTAATATGCATATGTATTTAATATATGTATAGTATGTAATATGCAAAATGTATGTAATATGCCAATGTATGTAATATGCCAATGTATGTAATATGTCAAAGCTTGTAATATAAGTAATATTTGTAATATGCCAATGTATGTATACGTAATATGCCAATGTATGTAAGATGCCAATGTATGCACTATGCCAATGTTTGTAATATGCCGATGTATGTAATATGCGAATGTTTGTAATATATGTAATGTATGTAATATGCCGATGTATGTAATATGCGAATGTATGTAATATATGTAATGTATGTAATATGCCAATTTAAGTAATATGCCAATTTATGTAAGATGCCAATATATGTAACATGCCAAAGTATGTAATATGCCAATGTATGTAATATATGTAATATGTTTGTATATGTAATATGTTATATATTGAATGTATGTAATATGCATATGTATTTAATATATGTATAGTATGTAATATGCAAAATGTATGTAATATGCCAATGTATGTAATATGCCAATGTATGTAATATGTCAAAGCTTGTAATATAAGTAATATTTGTAATATGCCAATGTATGTATACGTAATATGCCAATGTATGTAAGATGCCAATGTATGCACTATGCCAATGTTTGTAATATGCCAATGTATGTAATATTCCAATGTATGTAATATGCCAATGTATGTAACATGCCAATATATGCAATATGCCAATATATGTAACATGCCAATATATGTAATATGCCAATGTTTGTAATATG